TTCTGCAGCAAGTGCTTCAGGTCCTCCTCAGTTTCAGCAAGCAAGGTTATAGCAGCTGCATAACATAGATTGTTGATAAGTCTACTTCCAATCCTGATGCCACACTTCTCCTCATAGAGCCCAGCCTCCCAGATAATCTGTTCTGCATATAGATTGAAAAGGTACGGGGACAGTATGCATCCCTGGTGCAATTCTTTCCTGAGTTTGAATCATGTAATGTTTCCTTGCTCTGTTCTGAGGACTGCATCTTGGTCCAACTGTAGGTTTCATATATGCATGGTCAAGTGTTTTGAGAGTCCCATTTTCCTCAAGGCCAGCCACAATTTCTTGTGATCCACACAGTCAAATGCCTCAGGAGAGTCATGACTTTGAATCCTTCATGTACAGCTTCCTGAGATATTTTACTGTTGTTGTATGCCACTGAGTTGCAGCCAACTCGTAGATGACTCTCCAGTAGGTTCTTAGAGGCTATCAATCACGTGGAAAATTATCCATCTTCCTCCCATGGAGCAGCTGTTGGATCTGGGTTGGCAGTGCAACTCCTTGCCCACCTAAGCTCCCTGGTTTTTAGTACCTTTGAGTCAGAACTGACTCATAGTTGAGCCTCCAGCAGGTTTTTCAGAGGCAGTAAATCACATGGGAAGAAATTACCCATCAGAAATTACTTCCACAGAGCAACTGGTGGATTCAAACTGCATACTGCTGGGCTAGCAACACAATTCTTTACCACACCAGAGCTAGTAATGGGAAGCTGGACTTAAAACTATCCTCACTATCCTAGAGGCACACAGTTCAAATCCACCAGTTGCTCTGCCGGGGAAGGAGGAACAATCTCCTCCTGTACCAGTCAGATCTGATTTGACGGTACACTCACACAAAAATAATAAAATAAAAACCAAAAAAAACCTATCCTTACTGTCCTATGGACATAGAAAGCAAATACGGACTTACACAGAATTAGTGTTTTTGGCACTTGGGTGAAGTTAGAAGCAGTGGACTCTTTAGGTTAATAAATGACTTCACGGGACAGGGACCAGAGTGAGAACCAAACACTAAACTTTGTATTCTCCTTGGCATCTTCTCATTGGCCCAGACTCCAACGCTTGCCCAGAGGAGGATGCCATAAACATGATGTCACCCCACTAGCATGCTGCCTCTCTTCTGTATTTCCTTTCAAGGGAGGCTATCTGTCCCTTGGGACTGTAACTGTCCAATAAATCTATCCGTACTTTTTGCCTTTCTTAAAAAAAAAAAAAAAAGCCAATACTAACCTAAAGGCAGAGCCTCTCTAGCTTTTCTAACTCGTTAGCTGCCCTTTGGGAGGAAGATGGACAATCCTCTCCCAAGTCATTTACAGCCTCTGAAAACCCACTGGAGGGTCAACTATGAGATGGTCCCAACTCAACAACAATGAGTGATAATAGTAGAGTATGTTGGGATATACAGCTTTGTCAAGAAGGTTTTCAGTAAGGTAAGCAAGTATATTTTTTTCTTTTTTTATTGATATGCTCACAAAAGTTGTACACATTGTGTGTCACCCTATTCTTTATTCAAATTGTGTTTCATATAATCATTCACATTCATTGTTTTATAAAATCAATCACCATTGCACTCTGCCCATCATTAAGTATCTTTTATAATTGAAGTAAGAATTTAATATACTAAGAAAGTATAGCATAGAGCATAGCGGTGGTTGTTGTTGTTCTTATTGCTAGGTGTGATCAAGTTGAGTACATCCCATAGCAACCCTATGAACAACAGATCTGAACCCTGTCCTATCCTGTGCCATCCTCACACTTTCTGACATACTCAAGCCCATTGCAGCAGACATTGTGTCAGACCACCTGGTTGAGGGTCTTCCTCTCTTTCACCAATCCTCCACCTTTCCAAGCATGATGACCCTTGCCAAGGAATAGCAACATGCCCAAATATGTGAGACGAAGCTTTAACTTTGCCTCCAAGGAGCTCTCCACTTGCACTTTCTCCAAGACACATTTGTTGTTAGGCAGCCTGTGGGGTATTTGGTAATCTTCTCCAGCACCAGTTCAAAGGCAGCAATTCTTCTTCTGTTATCCTGTTTCATTGTCCAGCTGTCAGATACAGAGGAAGTGATTAAAAAGACCATCACCTGAAACAGGCACACCTTAGTCCTCATTCATATGATATCATTGCTCCTCAATAATTTGGAGAGGTCTCTGCCTTCAGACTTTCCAATATATCTCCTGATCTCCATACTGCTTGTACCAAGGGTGTTGACTGTGAATCCAAGTAAGATGAAATAGTTGACAACTTCAATCTTTTCTCCATCTATCATGATGTTGCCTACAGGTCCAGCGGTAAGTATTTTTATTTTCTTGATATCAAGATAATAGACTATTGGTTTAACTTTACACATACTCTTCCCTCTTCTACCATCATAGGGTGTCCATTTCTCTGTTCCTAGTCTTCAATTTAGAGATGAGAATTTGGCCAAAACAAACAAGCATCTTCCTTGGGAGTGATTAGGAAAGGTGGTCTGTTACACACTTCCCAAATGGAGAATGTGAATCTGACACTATGAAGAGTTATCTTGTCCACACGGCAGAGTGCAAGTGAAAAAAATCAAACTAACCAGAGGCAACAAGGCTAAGAAGATAGTGAAAGAGACAGGACTCTGATGAGATCCATCAAGGTCCTAGATCCAGTAGATTGAAGCAGCTTTTATACACCCCAGGACTCCCCAGTAACGCAGAAATAAACTTACCATTCCCCTTAAACTCAAGTTTAACTCTGATTCCGTTTAGGATTTCAAACCAGTTTATTTCAGTTCTGCTCACTGCTGAGAAAGTGCATTTCCACTCCAGATAGACTGAATCAGTACATATTTAAAAAGATCTTATATATAAAGAAGAATCACCGGGTTACTTTGTTCAAATATAGGTTCTACTTCAGTATATCTTGAGTGGGAATTGAAATTGTTAGGAAGACTGAACCAGAATGAATCAATTTGATGCTTGGTTCATTCACTCACAGCCAAATGTTCCTGACTCATGTGGTGGTGGTGGTGGTGGTGTTTGTTGTTGCTTGTTGTTGTGTTGTTATTAGGTGCCATCAAGTCAACTACAACTCATAGCAACCCTGCGAGCAATGGATCTGAATCTCGTCCCTAGCCTGTGCCATCATCATCATCCCTGATACACTCGAGCCCGTTGCTACAGCCACAAGTAGTATAATGAATAGGATCCTCTTTCAGATGAATGATGAGTAATCTCCTCCCTTGCAATTAACTGCCTCTGAACACCTCCTGGAAGGTAAGCTATGAGTTAAATCCAACTCCACAGCATACAATAACAATACAAATTCTAGAGAAAGTAAACTTACTAATTTAGTGGTTTCCGTTTTCTACATAAAGGATATTCATGCTTTAAGTAAAAGGAAACCTAGGGATCTCTGGGGCCTTAGTGGTAAGGAGCTGCCAACATGAAGGCACATGACCAGAATTCACCAGCTGCTCTGCAGGAGGAAGATGAGCAGTCTCCACCCATGTGGTTTATTGCCTCTGAAAACCCACCAGTGGGTCAACTATGAATTGGTTCCAACCCAGTGATATATAACAATAATAACAACAACAAAGTCAAAGGAAACCTAGACTGTTGCGTTTCTCACCTTGACTGCAGTAGATTGGGCTATAACTTGTAGTGGTTGACTCTGTATTTGCCCCTAGATCATGAGGCGGTATAGTCAAGAGTTCATCACTACAGCCACAGGAGAGCTGCTTGCTTTCTGAGGACCATTTCAGAGCGCACACAGCTTATCACGTTCCAACGTGACCTGGGGCTGCCCAAACACCATGGTGATAAACTCATCCCAGTCACGATCCACTGCACAGGAGCAAAGGACAGGTGTGCAGGCCAGAATAAATGACTACTTAATGCATTCAAGGGAAAAATACAGACTTCAGAGCAAAACTACTGAAAGATCCCTTCTGAGAGATCCAAAATCCAGGCAGGAATTCCTTGACTGAATATGAATGTAGTATTCTGCCTGAGTGGTTCATCCCACAACTTGTCTGACAGAATTTCAAATCTGAAATGGTGAAGATATCCCTGGATAGATATTTTGAATAGTTTTCATATGACTTCATAAGGGAGCTCTGATGGCCTAGTGGTAAGAAGATGGGTTGCAATCCCAAAGGCATGTGGTTTGAATCCACCTGTCTCTTCCCATTCGATTAACTGTCTCTGAAAACCCACAAGAGGGTTAGCTATGGGTTGCTTACAAGTTGATAGTACACAACAACAATAACAACATATTATTTAGGTAGTCATGAAAAAGATAGATAACCAGATTTTCCCAGGTAATGAGCTGAATATTAAACCTAGGAAATGCTACTTTCCTTGAACTTAGGTTTTTGTAAGTCAATTAAATGGTTTCAGGATATAATTACAATAAAGTGTTAGAAGGCATTATATTGCTTCCTTTTTCTGATAGCTGAATTCCTAAGTCATAGATTGACTGCTCATTCATTCTTGTCATTTAGTGGGAACCAATTCATAGCTAACTCTCCAGTGGGTTTTCAGAGGCTACAAACTGCATGGGAGGAGATTAGGTGAGCAATGAAACTCAATAGGTAAAAAGAGCATAAGAGACTGTGAGTGTCACACCTAAGTAAAACATGCTCTCAATCAGTGGACAGTGTCTTGATCTCTTTTCAATAATAAAAATCCTAACATCCGTTCCAAGATAAGGAAATCTTTCTGAAATAATTTCATTTTCTCCAAAAAACATGTAAATGACTTCCTACAATGAAAGTAGTTCTCAAATTTCTCAATGTCCTGAATCATATTTTTATAAGCTGTAGAGGCACAGTAGGGAAGAACAACCTGATTAACAATCTGGGCACTGGAACCAGGACCCTGTGCTTAAATCCTGCCTCGCCACGTGACCTCAGGTTAATGTCTTAATAAGAACTGAGGGTCAAATGGAAACTTGTACGCCAACGTTCATAGCAGCATTATTCACCACTGCAGGAACATGGAAACAGCCCAGATGGCCAAATAAAAAAAAAAAAGGATTGAAAAGTTGTGGTACATCCCCACAATGGAATACTACACAGCATGCAGGAGCAATCATTTTGTCAATTACTACCTAACTTGGTAGGGACTGGAGAACATTATGCTGAGTGAACTAACTCAGTCCCATAAGGGCAAATACTGTATAAGACCATTATTGTAGAATGAGTACAAGGATCCATGGAGGAGGGAGGAGTGCAAATAGAGGTGTGGATGGGTGTGGGGTAGAGTGTTAATCACAGGGTTGCACAATTCGCTGGGTGTGTGGGGTAAAGGAAGTGGGAAGGCTCTTTTGCGAAAAACAATGTATTCAAACTTTATAAATATATCAGAATAAAATACAAAAATAAATGAAAAAATACATACTATTAAAAAAGTTAATGTCTTAGTTTGTGTGAAAATATCAAAAGAATGAAAGTAGGAAACTAACATAGTTAGTGCCATGATTAAAATCAGATTACCCACACAAAGAGCATAATGGGGTGGGGGGGAAGTCGGCTGTTACTGTTATTAAAAAGGATCCATTTGTATCCGTCATGGAAAATGAAACTAAACTTAATACATATTGGAAACAGAGTGACTGCAACTTCTCAGGGGGACTCTTAAGCCTTTACAGAGCTCTAAAGCAGCTAAAGTGGTTTTACGTTTGACCGTAAGTGTTAAGATTTTAAAATTGTATTTGAGCTACAGAAATTGCAAAAGGCTTTGGAATCTAACTCAGTTTAATCTGCCTCAAGAAACATAGCTGCTATTAAAAGCAATACGTGCTTAGATTGGGTTTAGACCCCAGTTCTCTCTGAGACTTCTCTATATTCTCAACACATATGAGATTCTGTTTTCTCGTCTCTGACAGAGTTAAACTAAATTAGTGGTTCTGAGTGAGACCCATTGACCAGCAGTGTCAAGTTCACTTGGGAGTCAGAAATGCACTGTTACTGGACAGGTCTTCTGAATCTAGAACAGTGGAGCGGGGTGGGAGAGGGGAGGGCGCAGTTAACTGTTTAACAAGCCTCCACGTGATCTTGACGCATGCTCATGTTTGAGTGTCACTGAACTACATAAAGGGACCCTGGTGGCTTAATCCTTAGAGCTTTGTTCTGCTGACCCAAAGGTCCTGTCTCTCCGACCTACCGAATCCACCAGTGGCTTCCCCAGGACAAAGATACAAAATCCTTTCCTGTGAGATACAGCTTAGAAACGCAACGGAGAGTCAGCTATGAGTCAGTTCCAACTCAGAAGGAGTGAGTTGAATGAGTGAGTGAACTAGATTGCTGTAGTGGCATTGTGGTGAAGGCATTCAGCTACTAACCAAAAGGTCAGCAGTTCAAAGCCAGCATCTGCTCTGAGGGACAAAGATGAAGCAGACCTCTTCGGTAAAGATTTAAACCGGGGAAACTCTGTGAGCCGTTCTACACAGTGGGTATGAGTCACGTTCAGTTTTGAGCTGGATCATCTGAATTGCCTCTAAGAGTCTGAGAACCGGAAATGTGCCGCCATAGAAAGATTACAATCAGTACTGTACTGATAGCAATAAATATTTTATTTCAGCAAAACATATCTCTAGTAAATATTGTTATTGTTGTTGTTGTTGTTCGTGCGATCAAATCGTTTGCAACTCATAGCGACTCTATGTACAACAGCCCTAAACCCTGCTCTA